AGTGGCATAATCTCAGCTCACTGTAACCTCTACCTCCTGGGTTCAAGCAATTCTCCTGCTTCAGCCTCCCTAGTTGCTGCAATCACAGGCAGGTGCCACCATGCCTGGCTAATTTTTGTATTTTTAGTAGAGACGGGGTTTCACCATGTTGGCTAGGCTGGTCTCAAACTCCTGACCTCAAGTGATCTGCCTGCCTCGGCCTCCCATTATTGGCATTACAGGCATGAGCCACCATGCCCAGCCTTTTGTCTTTTTGAGACAGGATCTTATTCTGTTGCCCAGGCTGGAGTGCAGTGGCATCCTCATGGCCCACTGCGGCCTCGACCTCCTAATAAAATTTTTGTGGTTGTTAGAGATAGGGGCTCACTATGTTGCCCAGGCTGGTCTGGAACTCACCTCAAGTGATCCTTGTGCCTTGGCTTCCCAAGGTGCTGGGGTTACAGGCATGAGCTACTGTGCCCAGCCCTTAGCTACACTTTTGTGGGTATCTCTCTCCCCTGACCCCCAGGTATTCTGCGAATACTTCAAGGAGCTGGAGGAGGAGAGCATCCGGGACAACTTTGTCATCGTCTATGAGTTGCTGGATGAGCTCATGGACTTTGGCTTCCCGCAGACCACCGACAGCAAGATCCTGCAGGAGTGGGTGGACCCCTGGGGGCAGGCTGGACTGTGGGTGTAAGTAACTGGAGGAGGTCCACAGAGGTGTCCCTGTGTCCAGCTGCCTGTCCCTACCGCCCTCACTCCAGGTACATCACTCAGCAGAGCAACAAGCTGGAGACAGGCAAGTCACGGGTGCCACCCACTGTCACTAACGCTGTGTCCTGGCGCTCTGAGGGTATCAAGTATAAGAAGAACGAGGTCTTCATTGATGTCATAGAGTCTGTCAACCTGCTGGTAAGCCCGCATACCTCCCCCGCACCCCTTCCAGGGCCTGGCTGCGGGAGAGGGAGCTGGGTGCCTGCTGACCACCCCCCACATCCATCCTCAGGTCAACGCCAACGGCAGCGTCCTGCTGAGCGAGATCGTTGGTACCATCAAGCTCAAGGTGTTTCTGTCGGGAATGCCAGAGCTGCGGCTGGGCCTCAATGACCGCGTGCTCTTCGAGCTCACTGGCCGTAAGTATTTAAGGGACCTTTCTTCCGAGAAGTGCACAGGGGAGTCGCAAACCCCGCCCACGTGGGGACTTAGAGAATCGCCGCCGGTTTTGAAATAAGCGCTCCCTCTCCATCTGCTGGTCACGGCCAGTATTGCAGCCAGTGGTTGACTTTGCAAAGGCTGTTTCATGATTGAGCGACTGTTGGGTGCCAGGTGCAATTTTAGGCTCTAAGGACACAGCAGTGAAAAAAAAGACAAACCCTCGTTCTTACAGAGATGACATCCTACTGGGAGGAGGAGACATTATAACATCCTATTTATGTATTTATGTATTTAGAGATGGGGTCTTGCTGTGTCGCTCAGGCTGCAGTGCAGTGGTGTGATCATAGCTCCCTGCAGCCTTGACCTCCGAGGCTCAAGTGATCCTCCCACCACAGCCTCTCGAGTAGCTGGGACCACAGGCATGGACCACCTACTTTTTAAATTTTTTATAGAGACGGGGGTCTCGCTTTGTTGCCCAGGCTGGTCTTATCTCCTGGCCTCAAGCGATCCTCCTGTCTTGGCCTCCCAAAGTGCTAGGAGTACAGGTGTGAACTACTGTGACTGGCTCAGCATCTTATTTATTTATTTATTCGAGATGGAGTCTCGCTCTGTCACCAGGCTGGAGTGCAGTGGCATGATCTCAGCTCACTGCAACCTCTGCCTCCTGGGTTCAAGCGATTCTCCTGCCTCAGCCTCCCGAGTAGCTGGGACTACAGGCAAGTGCCCCCCCGCCCTGCTAATTTTTTTTTTTTGTATTTTTAGTAGAGACAGGGTTTTACCACGTTGGCCAGGATGGTCTCGATCTCTTTACCTTGTGATCCACCTGTCTCGGCCTCCCAAAGTGCTGGGATTACAGGTGTGAGCCACCACGCCCGGCCTCAGCATCATATTTAAAAGTCAGACACTGCCAGGTGTGGTGGCTCACGCCTGTAATCCCAGCACTTTGGGAGGCCAGGACAGGCGGATCACCTGAGGTCGGGAGTTTGAGACCAGCCTGACTAACATGGAGAAACTCCGTCTCTACTAAAAATACAAAATTAGCTGGGAGTGGTGGCACATGCCTGTAATCCCATCTACTCAGGAGGCTGGGGCAGGAGAATTGCTTGAATTCGGGAGGTGGAGGTTGTGGTGAGCCAAGATCGTGCCATTGCACTCCAGTCTGGGCAACAAGAGTGAAACTCTGTCTCAAAAAAAAAAAAAAAAAAAAAAAAAAATTCCAGGCCCTGTGGGTACAGATGCTAGGTTTGGATTCCAGCTCTACTCTCCCAGTTTTTATTCATCCTCTCTGGGCCTCAGTTTCCCCATATGTGAAATCGGTGATAGTGGTGGGCAGGGAAGGTAGGGAGGGATCCTTTCCTGTTCCCCAGGGTCACTCTGCACTCTCCACTCTGAGTTTCAGGCGGCAAGAACAAATCGGTAGAGCTGGAGGATGTAAAATTCCACCAGTGCGTGCGGCTCTCTCGCTTTGACAACGACCGCACCATCTCCTTCATCCCGCCTGACGGTGACTTTGAGCTCATGTCCTACCGCCTCAGCACCCAGGTGAGGCGGGGTCCAGCCACATGTGGGTGGGGTAGGATGGGGTAGGCTGCAGAGTGACGCTGGGCCCAGCGCGGTGGCTCACGCCTGTAATCCCAACACTTTTGGAGGCTGAGTCGGGTGGATCACTTGAGGACAGGAGTTCGAGACCAGCCTGGCCAACAGGGTGAAGCCCCGTCTCTACTAAAAATACAAAAATTAGCCAGGTGTGGTGGCACATGCCTGCAATCCCAGCTACTGGGGAGGCTGAGGCAGGAGAATTGCTTGAATCCGGGAGGTGGAGGTTGCAGTGAGCCGAGATCACGCCATGGCACTCCAGCCTGGGTGAAGAAGCGAGACTCTGTCTCAAAAAAAAAAAAAGAAAGAGAGTGACCCGTCTCCAAGAACTCCCCCCTTCTTCCCACAGGTCAAGCCACTGATCTGGATTGAGTCTGTCATTGAGAAGTTCTCCCACAGTCGCGTGGAGATCATGGTCAAGGTGCCCTTGGGGGAACGCTTATTAACAATACATGATTTCGGGTGGGCGTGGTGGCTCACACCTGTAATCCCAGCACTTTGGGAGGCTGGGATGATTTGATCACTTAAACCCAGGACTTTGAGACCAGCCTGGGCAACATAGTGAAACCCTGTTTCTACAAAAAATACAAAAATTAGCCCAGTGGTGAGTGCCTGTTGTCCCAGATAGTTGGGAGGCTGAGGTGGGAGGATTGCTTGAGCCCAGGAAGAGGAGGTTGCAGTGAGACAAGGACCCTAGCCTGGATGACAGAGCTAGACCTCATCTCCAAAAAAAAAAAAGAAAAAACAAAGTCTAGTCGGGCGTGGTGGCTCACGCCTGTAATCCCAGCACTTTGGGAGGCCGAGGCGGGTGGATCACGAGGTCAGGAGATCGAGACCATCCT